TCGGGCTCAAGGGACTTCCTGGTCTCCTTCTCGGGCTCTAGGGGCGACTTCCTGGGTCTCCTTCTCGGGCTCTTCCTGGTCTCCGGCTCAAGGGCGCGACTTCCTGGGTCTCCTTCTCGGGCTCAAGGGCTCCTCTCGGGCTCAAGGGCGGCGACTTCCTGGGTCTCCTTCTCGGGCTCAAGGGCGGCGACTTCCTGGGTAAATTCCACAGTCGAATTTAATCCTGCGCGACTAAAGGTGCATAGTAAACAAAGCAACGAAGGAAAGAACAAGAAAAAGGACGACTACGCCGAGGCCATTTTCCCCGTGTTGTTTCTCCAAGCCTTTGGTATATTCACGTTTTCTTGGTCTTCCCTTCTTTTCATTATTTTTTTTTAGCTTGGATCCTGAGCAGGTAAATTCATCCATGACGATCCTCAAGTCTCATGTACTCATGCGTGTGTGTACATGTATATAGACGCAAACATATATGTGTGATTTTTATGTGCATTCCCATGAAAGCATGGGTCTGGAAAAGTTTTCATTTCGTTTAGATCCATACTCCATAACCAGCTTATATTCTGCCACTATTGCAAACCAGACCTCCAGCACTGGCTTACCTGGCAACACTATCTTATTGATGGTAACAACCTTTATTTAACTACGGTCGCGAAACTGATATACTTGCCGAGATCGGGATCAGTAATAAGATCTTATTTTCATTTTGATTCGACTGCATTCGCCTTTAGCCAAACGCCATTACATTTATGATCATGTCTTCCCTCTATATGTATGTATGGGCACATATAGATTGCGGTTCTGTTAATCTCATCGATGCACCACATCGCCCTTATAATTTAGCATTTGTTGTTTTATCATTATCACTTCATGTCTTATGAAGAAAACATAGTATATATATATATATATATATATATATATATATATATATATATATATATAGTGTGTGTGTGTGTATATAATTATAATATATATATATATATATATATATATAATATATATATATATATATATATATATATATATATATATATATATATATATATATATATATATATATATATATATATATATATATATATATATATATATATATATATATATATATATATATATATATATATATATATATATATATATATATATATATATATATATATATATATATATATATATATATATATATATATATATATATATATATATATATATATATATATATATATATATATATATATATATATATATATATATATATATATATATATATATATATATATATATATATATATATATATATATATATATATATATATGTATATGTGTATGTCTGCAGTATATCTTTCGTATAGCCAAATGAAAGAAAACAAATTTAAAAAAAATCATTTATTTTGCAAGGTCAAAGTTTTTTCTTGGACAAATCCAAAAGAACTATTATGAGCCATTTTGAAAACCTTTCATAGTTCATGGTCTAAGAAGTCCGTTGACAATTTGGTTCGCGAGCTAGTTCCTTGAGGGTGCGAGAACCACGCTGATGGGAGAATAACCTTGGTTCTGCTGGTTCCTGTTCTGTTGGCTGTTGTACTGGTTGTAGACGCGGTTGTTGTATTGGTTCTGGGAACCGGATCCATAACGAGCCAGAAGGTAGTTTTGGTTCTGGCTGTAGAGGCTGGGCGAAGGGCGGTTCAGGTTCTGATTGAAGCGGTTGGTTCCATAACGCTGGAAGTTGTACCTGAGGTTGTTGTTGCGGGTGGAAAGGCTTTGGTCGCGGTTCTGTTGGTATTGGTTGCGATTCTGCTGGTATTGGTTGCGGTTCTGGTAGGACTGGTCGAAGTTCTGCTGGTCCTGGTTGCGGCTCTGCTGGTACTGGTTGCGGCTCTGCTGGTACTGGCTGCGGCTCTGCTGGTACTGGTTGCGGCTCTGCTGGTATTGGTCACGGTTCTGGTAGGACTGGTCGAAGTTCTGCTGGTATTGGTTGCGGCTCTGCTGGTATTGGTTGCGGCTTTGCTGGTATTGGTTGCGGTTCTGGTAGGACTGGTCGAAGTTCTGCTGGTACTGGTTGCGGCTCTGGTAGGACTGATCACGGTTATGCTGATACTGGTTTCGGTTCTGTGAAAATTGGTAACGGTTCTGCTGATTCTGATATCGGTCCTGTTGGTACTCGTTGAGGTTCTGAGAATACAAAATGGGGTTTAGCTGGTATTCATTGTTCTGCTGGTTCTGATAGCGGTTCCGTTGGTAATCGTTGCTGTACTGAGAGGATTGGAAGCGGTTTCGCTGATATTGATCGCGGTTCTGTTGATACTGATCGCGGTTCTGTTGATACTGATTGCGGTTCTGGGAATTTTGTCTATTTTCCAGGTTCTGGTTGCGGCTTTGTGAGTATTGGTACTGGTTGCGGTTCTGTTGGTACTCATTGTTGTTCTGTGAGTACTGGCCACGGTTTTCCTGGTACTGGTTGCGGTTCTGTGAGTATTGCCCACGGTTCTGTTTCTGTTGGTAG